GTCCAGCCACATTCCTTAGTCTGCCTGTCCTTCATAACCTATGTCAGGTGTATCTGGACAGTTCAGGGGCAAACTTGGCCCTCTGCAACTCAAGACAACTCCTCCCAAACACTTTATCTGCAGAGAGCCATTGAGGAACCCCCTGTGCACCAACATTTCTTGATTTTTCTACTGTGTGCAGTGTTGTGGATCTGTGATTTCATTCATCTGTAAACCACACACTCAGTAGTGGGTATTGCTGGTCCCATTTTATACATGAGAAAATTGAGACTTGAAGGAAGAGCAACTTGCCGAAAGTCCACAGCTATTAAGCAAAATGGACTGCAAAGCCTTTCCTCTCCATCAAACCAGTTTGCCTCCCTAGTAGAAGGATTTGTGCCTCTGTACTTCTCCTGGGCAGGAAAGCACTCCCTGCGGACTAGGTAGGGGGCTTCTCTCCTGCCCTGTGGAGCAGCTGTGATAAGGGCTCACTGCAACCTGCATGGGGCTCTCAGCACTTCTGTCAACACCCTCCTGTTGAGCAGGAAGCCACACTCACATTCCTCCAGAAGGTTAGTGAGAGAGCTGCAAGATGGAGTCGATTTTTCTTTCCCTTCCGAAACAGAAATATCGCTAAACTCCTTTAAAAATTGACTTCCTAGTTGATTTTGCGTGTAGGTGATGCAGCAAGCCTCAGACTTAGGATTTTCAAATGTCCTTGGCAGGTTATTACCAATGACTGTCAAATGTGTTCTCGGTGGTCTGGGTATATCCCATGGGAAAATGCCTTTTCTCAGGGAGTGGAGCTTTTAATGTTCATTTGTGACTTAGATTTTAGCTGTATATTGAATTCATACCTTTATCCGCTTTTAACTATCTTGTCTCATAGCAGAAGCTGTTGAATGTGGTCTGTGCTCATACATTAGGTTTCTGATGTGATTGTCTTTATTCTGGTGGGTTGGGCCGGGATGGAGTCACTTCAGCCGTGGCCAGTGATATCCTGGGGAGAAAGAGAATCCATTTGCCCTGGATTCTGTACAGCATATTAACTTCCTTTATTTTACATCCTAGGGAGGTGACATGATGGTCAAGGTTACAGTACTTCTTAGCGGTACCACTTGTCACCCAGATTTCTAAGTCACACTGCGCTCCTACCAGGATTTTGGGGCTCTCTGATAGGAAGAGGGAGGCTCAGAGGTGAAGTGACTTGGCTGAGGTCCTGGCTGATTGGTGTATGACTTGCAGCTAGAACTCAAACCTGCTAAGGACTGTAATGTAGCTAACTTAATGTTTAGCTACAGAATGTTTTTGTTGTATTGTAGCTAACTGAATGTTTTTAGAAACTCAATTATGTCTCGACTCTACCAAAAAAACTAGCTGTTTAAACTTTCCCATTGTGATTGTAAGGTGAACAGTTCTCTCTCATTTGTCTTATAGTAGGTAAGAACAGAGACACCAATTCAGATGTTTACTTTTTGGATTTCCTGAGGCCAGCTCTCCTTAGGTTGCCCCCACCCCAATCCTAGATCCAGACCTAGGGTTCAACTGCCTGAGGACTCTGCTCCACCCACTGCCTCCGTTTTTCTACTGCAGAGGCTGTAGAAGTGGGAGCTCATTAAAAAAAAAAAGATCAAAAGTTCACCCTGCGTTTCAGTTCCCTTTTGAACAATGGGTGGAGGGCAGAGAAAGAAAGGTGTGCTACATCACAATGTGGCTGCAGACTTTGCAGCCATTAGGCTGTCCTCCCCTGGGCAGGAAAGTGGACAGACAGGGAGTGCTCCCAATTTCAGGAGTGGCCCTCCTGAGTGGCTTCCAGCACTTCTTACAAGAAAAGTGAAGACCTCCTGGGCAGCTGCAACAGGCGATAGGTTCGGCGGTCTCACTGGATCTTGAGATGAAGCCAGGACTATACTGAGTGACCCCAGTCAGTGAGCAGTGCAAAGCAGTGGCCTCAGAACCTTCCTCTTCCCCACATCCCAGTCTCTCTGTGCTGGAGTCCTGGACAGGGCACGGGAGCATCTGACTCTCAGTCAGGCTACTAAAGTATTGCACTGCTGAATACTCTTGAATCTGCTGCACCCTTTCTGTTTACACAGTGAGCAGAGTAATAGCAAGACTGTGCTATATGTGATGGCTCTGCACTTAGCTAGGCTGTCAGGCAGGCCGGGCTCTGCCCCATGGTGGCCTGCTGCCATTGCGTTTCCCTTCCTGTGCGGGTCTCTGCTGTCCCTGAAGCATCACCGGGACACCTTGGTGTCCTTCTGAATGTAATGACTTACTTGTAACTCTAGTCACATCCCAGGAAAAGAAACAAAAGCAGGGACCTGACCAACTCCTTAGACCCCTCTTTGTTGTTTAGGCAAAAAAAACATATTTGGAATTCTGCTCTGTGTCTAGCCCAGGGGAGGAAGAAGTTTCTAGCAGTTATGGCTTTCTGTTTGCTGCCTGGTGCTTTCACAGAAATACTTCATTTTTTTAAACCAAAATTGCATTTGTTCAGTTGTCATTGTTGAGCATGTATTTACTGTGTTTTACAGACGTGAGTAAATATATGTATGTAATTATATATATGTATGTATATATGTATGTAGAAAACCAAATATATATAGACAAGGTAAAGGCATGTATACTAGATATTTTGAAGTTATTTATCAAGGGGAAAGATGTGTGTTATAAAGTAAAAAGAGTCTATATTTTATACATAATGTAGATAGCAAGAATAGCATGCACATTATACACAATTTTCCTTTCCTCTTTTATTATTAAAGCAAAAAAAAATAAAAGGACAGTACAGGCAGCTGTTCCCAGGGTTGTGAAGGCCACACTGCTGTGGGGGGAGGGAATCCATGGCCCTGGGGTGCAGTCTGTGCTGGGCCCAGCCCCGCACTCCCTGCCTTCTGGCGCTGCCTCACATGTGGCTTCCTGCTGTCCCCCAGGTCTGCATCCCCGGGGTGAAGGGTGAGAGTAACCAATAAAGTTTGACTACAGAAGTGATTCTGGCTCTTGTCCTGCTGGGTCGCCTCGGGGCTCTACTTTGGGAGCTGGCACCTGGCTGGTTGTGGACTCTGAGGCAGAGATGTGAATGGGGCGGTGGTGGTATTTAGCATGTGCTTGGAGTTGTTAGGGGGAAAAGGATGTCCTAAAGCTAATTCCATACAGGCTTTGTGGACTCTACCCCCACCCCAGGCCAAAGCCAAAGACACTGGGGACTCCAAATCCCATCACCACCGAAGGGAAGGTGGCTGGGACCTGAGGGTGGGGTTAAGCAGCCAGGTTTGGTATAAAGCCAGACCTGTGGGCTTTGGAGGGGATCCCCCATTTTGGCTCTCCGCCAGCTCGCAGCGTCATGCCAGCTCTGAGAGTGCCTTTGGGTTTCCAGGTCGGCGGATCGGGTAGGACGCATTAAAGACTTTATTTCCCTATTTTCTTCCTGAGTTGTACATTTTCCTTATTTCCTTTTCCTTGTAAATAAGCCTTTTATTAACCTTTTGTGTATGCCTGTAGTGGAGTATTAATTAGTCCCTTTTAAGCTCGCGGGTGAGAACCCACAGCCAGGCCACCGGTTCAATATTGGGATTGCCCTATAACAGCTGGCGCCCGACGCGTTTTCCAAGCTTCACCCATGGTTGACCAGCCCAAAGTAATTTTTCTTGCATTAGTCACTGTTGTGCCCAAGATCAGCAGACTCGGCGAGCATAGCCTCCGAGAATCCAAAGATAGCTGATGTAAATGCAAAAGGGAGTTTATTACGGGCTCGAGACCGGGCCCTCGACACATGCCAATGCGACGGCAGAGGTCAAGAGTCCCGAACAGAGGAAGCAGGGGTATCTTACAGGGCCACGAGTGGCGCGAACTTTGAAAGAAGCTGGCAATTACTCATTGGCTACTACAAAGGCATTTTGGCGCGCGCGGTTACAGTTTCAAAGTGATAGGATGCTTAGAGATGCTGTCCCATTTATGGACAGGACTGCCCTTATTGGCGGCTGGGGTGGTCTGCTTTTTCGTCACCAAGTGGAGTGAGGGTTGTGACTGCTGAAACTATCTCCGGAATGCGGCTGGACAAGGACTAACATATCAAGGTGGAGGATATACAAAATGGCGAAACCTCGGCTAAGCTTGGTTCCACAGTCACCATCTTCAGTGAGCTCAGGCAAATTGCTAATTGGTCTGATAGTGTTGTAGAGCAACCTCAATACAAAACGGGGTGCCTGACTGTGGGTCCTCACCTGTGCGCTTAAAAGGACTTATCAGTGCTCTACTGCAGGCACAAGCGAAAGGTTAACAAAAAGGTTTATTTACAAGGGAAGGGGAAATGAGGAAATGTACAGCTCAGGGAGAAAAGTGGGAGACAAAGTTTTAAATAAGTCCTACCCGATCCGCCGATCAGGAATCCCAAATGGCGCTCTGAGAGCTGGCCGCCAGCCAGGAGCCTTGAAGCGGAGGCGAGCAATAGCAAGCCAGCCCAAGGCCCACGTGTTTGGTTTTTATACCCAACCTGGCTGCTTACCTCCACCCTCAGGTCCCAGCCACCCTCCCTTTGGTGGTGATGGGATTTGTCTTTCCCAATGTCCTGATGGCTTTAGTCTGG